GGGCGGGTGGACGGGCGGGCGGGCCTGGGGGAGGAAGGCCAGGGGAGGTGGCTTAGGGGAGGGAGTGGTAGGAAAAAAAGGGGTCATTCTTGCAGCTTGGGAAGGAGCCCTTGTCCATGGCACCTTGACATTTGGGAGCCGCAAGGTGACACAGCCACCTGACCTGTCCAGAGCCCCAGGGGCTCACCAGAAGCACGGGGGACGGGGTGGGGAGAGTGACTCACGGCTCCTCTGATGGGCTCATCGCAGGTTGTCAGGGCTGCCGTGGAAAGTCAAGAACAGCTTGCATTAGTCAAATGTTCGCCTGGAAGGGATCACGCTCTCCCCTTGCCGACCTCATGGGGCTCTGAGGATGAGGATGGAGTGAGGTACTGTAGATGGAAAAGCATTGTAGAGATGAAGAGAAAAGCCCCAGATAGAAAGAATGATAATGGGGGCAGGGGAGGGGGGGTTGCAGAGAAGCAGTTTCTTCCAGGGTTCTCGGTCCCTCTTGCACAGGCCAAGGCTGTGTCTATTTAAGTCATGCTGGTAAGAACTCCCCTAGTGTCTCCCTGGAGCCCCGTATGCACATGGCATGGGGACCCCAGGGAGGGAGAGGGTGTCAGCACAGGAGGTTGGAAGCCACCTTGCCACAGCAGGTGCTTCCTGACTCCCTCCCCACCATCTCCAGGGACGTTGGGATGAAGCCACCAAGGCAGGGTTGGCATCTCTCTCTGGGGCTGTTTCTTGAAATTCTGGGAGATGCATTTCTCTGATCTCCCCATCGACAATTGAGCGTGGTGGGTGGAGTATGTTGAGAATCCTGGAAGGGAATCTGAAAGGAGCCCTGGAGTGGTCACCTAGAAGGGGCTGGCCTTGGCATCACTCCAGAGATTCTTTCTGTGGTTCCCACGCTGCACAGCTGATTCCAACCCTTCTGAGGCTAGATGTGAAATCAAGCACATGGGGAGTGGGTTCAGGTGGGAGCAGGGTACAGGTGGGAGTGGGTATACAGGTGGATGCTGGTAGAGGTGGGAGCCGGTGTACAGGTGGGAGCAGGGGTATAGGTGGGAAGTGGGCACAAGTGGGAGGGGTACAGGTGGATAGGCTTAGTCTCTGCCTAGTTTTTAAAAGGACAGACTCTAGGCCGGGCTTGGTGGCTCAACCTGTTTTCCCAGCACTTTGGGAGGCCGAAGTGAGTGGATTGCCTGAGCCTGCGAATTCGAGACCAGCCCGGGCACCTTGGTGAGGCCTCGTCTCCACAAGAAACCAAAAATTAGCCAGGCGTGGTAGCGTGCGCCTGTAGTTCCAGCTACTTGGAAGACTGAGGCGGAAGGATTGCTGGAGCCCAGCAGGTCAACGCTGGGGTGGCCATGAGCATGCCACTGCACCCCAGCCTTGGCAATGGAGTGAGACTCTGACTCAAAAAAAAAAAAAAAGAGACTCTAAATGAAGCTAGGGAGGGATTTTTCTTAGTACCCTTGCTCACCCTCACCAAAAACTCTAAACTAGAGCAATGCAACCTGCAGGATGTAGATTAACAAAGTGATGGAAGGATTAGAAGGGAAGAGGAGACAGTGTTTGTGCTTCCCTTGTTTTCAGATCTTTGTTCCAATACCACCTTCTCAGAGACCTCTCTCAGCATCTTGTCTAAAGGAGCAACCCTGTCTTTCTGTCTTTCCACTTAGTCATGAGCTGGCTCACGTAAAATGCTCATGACATTGCCTGGCACGAAGCTAGAACCCAGCACGTTGTTCCTGCTGTACTAGGATGGCCGTGACCTGCGCATAGGACTTCTTTTTCTTCTTAGCATTGTCTCTATCAGGCATTGCTATTTCGTATTTTATTGTTGCTAGGTTTATGATCATCTGTCTCTCGAAGGAGAATGCAAGATTCACGAGGACAAGAGGCTTCTCTTTTGTGTCACTAATTCCCAGAACAGCTCTGGTACACAGTTGACACTTACTAAAGACATACTGGCTGTGTGAAGTCAGGCAGGCAGTCTTCCCAGAGAAAGTAGCAAAATTCTTATCTCTACAGAATTCTTATCTTTACAGTAAAAAAAAGGGGTCTGTGAGTTTCCAGCATTACCAATAATATAGGGAACTTTGGGGTCCTACATCTTTCTAAAGCAGGTCTTAGCCTCAGCACTGTTGACACTGAACCAGGCCATTCTTTGTCATGGAGGCTGTGCTATGCTGTACGGTGGTCCGTTCAGCATCATCCTTGGCCTCTGCCCACTAGAGATGCCCGCAGCTCCCTGGTTGTGACATTCCAAAATGCCTCTGAGGGGGTGGAGAGAGGGGAGTCACCTGGTCGAAAACCACTGTTCTCAGTGGAAGCCAGGTCTCCACGGGCGCACCTTACCTGACATGGGCTCCCATTAGATACACGCTTGCAGCTTAGAGCGTAGTCTGGCTGCGGCATTTCTGCTGTAATGAGGTGCTTCTCCTTCTCTTCCCTCCCCCAGTTTCGCATCGCTCACATTTTACACAGAAAGAGGCAGGAGAACAGCTGACACGCTTTCCTAGTGAAACACATCTTTTGTTGCTGCGATGATTCCTTAGATGTCAGTGGGAGATGCAGAATTAGAAATAATTAAGGCGCAGGTAAACAAACAGAGCCGGCCTAGGGCACGTCACACAGACGCCGCTGTCAGCCAGGGGTGGTCAGAGGGAGTTTCTGCAGAGGCAGAGACCAGCCTTCTCAGAGCCCCTCCTGGTGCCCAGGATTCCATCCTTCTGTGGCATCTACCTTGGCCGTGATGCAGCATGGCAGCTGCCGCTGTGTGACAGAGAAGGTGGATGCCCGGGATCCTCCAGAGGGACCTGAAAACTGTAACAGGGCAGCTCAGACAGGGCCAGGAAGCTTTTATTTTATTTTAAAGATGTGGGGTACAATTCAGGGTTAGGTATACAAATGTTCATTGTACAGGTACCTTTGTTGATGAGGTGTGCCTCCCCCCTTCCCCAGGTAGATTCCCACTACTGCCAATCCCGCGTCCCCCCACCTCCCGGCAGTTTCCTGCTACTGCTAATCCTTTTCTTCTAGTATTTTGATAATTGCTGAAGGTCTGCTTATGAGTGAGAACATGTGATACTCAGTTCTTTGTTTCTGTGAAAGATCACTCAGTATTATAGACTCTAAGTCCATCCAGGTTGCAGAGAAGTTCATGATTTTGTTCTTTATGGCTGCATAATATTCCATTGTCTATATGTACCACAGTTTTTTAATCCAGTCTCTTTTGATGGGCAGCACGGTTGGTTCCATGTTCTTGCTACTGTGAACAATGAAAGAAAAAAAACACAACAAAATTAAATGGATATTGGAACCCTTATTAAAGTGCATTATAGGGGACATTGCCAATCATGAGGACAATATCAATGTATTGCCAAATGAGAACTTGTAAAGGGAAGGACTCATGTATTTATTTTTAACATTTAGTTGGAAAGAAATAATGAAGTAAAATATCTGAATCATTAGGTTCTCTTTCTTATCTCTGATGATCATGACAGTGAAAAAAACAAGGTGTGTGTGTGTGCGTGTGTGTGTGATGTGTGTAATACACAGCCTGGCATCCTTTTTGTGAGATTCTTTCATGTAAGATACCCAAAACCCAAGAGCATAGCTTTACTGTGTTTTAAATATAAATGGATACCTTTCTGTGATTGGCTTGTAAGCCTTCCTTTCCCATATTAGAGTCTCATATTTTAAATGGAAACTTTGATCTGTTTGGAACTTTTTTTTGGCCTGGTGCTAGTATCTGAATGTTTGTGTACCCCCCTTAAAATTCACCTGTTACAGTCCTGTCCGCCAAGGTGATTAGATTATTATGAGGCCAGAGACCTCAAGATTGGGATTAATGCCCTGATAAAAGACCTCCGAGAGAGACCCTGTGCTCCTTTCACCATGTGAGGACACAGCTAGGAGGCACCATCTGTGAACTCAGAGCCTCCGCAGACCTGGACTCTGCTGATCACTTGCTCTTGGACTTCACAGTCTCCAGAACTGTGATAAATTTTGGTGGCTTATGAGCTACCCAATTGATGGTACTTTGTTGTAGCAGCCTGAATAGACCGAGACACCTGTTTTTCAAGAAGTATCTGCATTTCAGCTCCTTGAGATGATTCTGCCCACCTTCCCTCAGCTTTGGGGTACCTGGATGAAAGCGGGGGTGCTTGTGGAGTTGGCTGAATCGCTCATCTGCCTCGTTTCTCTTGAGATCCTGTGCATTTTTAAGGGGTCAGCAGGGTTGGGGCTTCTGGGGATGCTTCTGGAAGAGCAGCTTTCTGCCCTCTTGAGGATTCATTAGTTTGCTCCCAAGTGAAACCCAGGCTCTGTTAGCTAGGACTTTGTTTTGTTCACCAGACATCCACAAAGTCGAATAAATATTTGTTAGATAGATGGGGGGATCAAATGCGTGCCTTTGCCTGGTTAATGCGAAATAGCCAAATTACCTAGTGAGAGCACAGCAGGAGGGTGACAGGGCTGTTTTGAGGCCATTTGGATTTAACTCCAAATGTGCGTGTGTTCTCTGTTACTTTGTTTCCTTCCTTTAATGCTTATGTTTGGATTTCGTCCTCTTTTGATCTCATGAGAAACATGAAGATGGTGCATTCCCAAACGTGTTAACCTTGGTTCCTGTACCGAGGTTGCCATCTGAGTGAACCTGCCAGGTGTGCTTCTTTTGATAGGTCAGGAACTGAGTCCATTGGGCCATCTGCCTGGAGGTGACGAGGTGTGTAGAGGAGTGTGTGGTGTGGGCCCTGACCTTTCATGGTTATGTATGTTTCCCATTTCTATAATCAGCACTAACTTTCAGATCCTGTTTTTTGTAACCACTGAAGTCCTGTATCCAGACAGCTCATCGCCTTCCCTGACCTGATAGCTGGGTTGGCCCAAGGACCGGCTCACCCTGGCACTCTTGGTAGGGAATGACACGTTGCCTTGGCCCCTATTAGCTGGAAGGGCTGGGGAATGAACGTGGCAGAAGTGCTGAGTGACGCCACTTTTTGTTTCAGGGTGCAGCCGAAGACCCCCAGATGGCCCTGGCCCTGAGCTTCGACCCTGCATTGATGAAGAAGTCCGATCCGGAGGGCCCCACGCTGCTCTTCTCCGAGAGTGAACTTTCCATCCGGATAGGTAGAGCAGGGCTTCTTTCAGGCAAGCTCTTTGCTGCAGATGCTGAGCCGAGGAGGCAGTGTAGACTCGGGGCTGCTGGTAGGATGAATAATGAGGGGGATGCCAGGCACTCTGTCCCGTCCCTCCAAGTCACTCACTCCCCCTGTCGCACAGAGCTAAACTGTCATCTGGCCTGGCGCCTTTGTTTCTCATTTGTTCTCAAAACCACCTGCTTAGTCTGCAGGAGGGAATGGGACCGTTGGGTCATCGTTGCAACTTGGACATGTGGACAGGGGTCCCTCTGCTGGCTCTGGGGCCGATTTGAGGTAGAGAGTATCGGCATTTGTCCCTCTGTGTTTCCCTCTCAGATGGACCCTGAATGCTCCTTTTCATTTATGTTGTAATTCACGTTTTTTGGATTCTCCTGAGAAGACGATGTTTCACATGCTTCAGTTTGGAGCCAGAAAACCTAAAGACACTGACGGTAGTCATTCCTTTTCCTGGAGTTGGAGGGAATGCGTCCCTGGAGAGGAATAAGATAGCAATTCCTGAATCTCGATGGAGAGAGGCGCGGACTGGGCTGCTGCCCTGAGCCGTTGTTGGGGCTGGGATGGAACACGTTGTTTTCCAGCCTCAGGGCAGACTCCTCTCCTCTTTGCCCTACATTGTTCACTGAAGGCACTTGGCTAATTTAAGGGCCGGCTAGCCTGAGGAGAGTGGGATGCCTTTCTTTTCCTTTGGTGTATGTAAATGTCCCTCATTTAATCCTGCAGACCCTTGGATACCATGGATTTAAGAAGGGAAACCACGCCAGTGCTGTTGAGAACAGGCACTTCCTTGCTAACACGGAGCTCTTTCCTGAGTGAATTGGGGAGAAACAAGTTGGTGACTAGTCACTGTCTTCATAGGAGTTATCTGAGGGAGAAAAGTTCTTTCATATTTCCATGCTGGCATTTTAATTGGGTCTTTTCACCATCTCTCGGCTAAGAGGAGCTCTAACCCTCGGGGAGAGCAAATGTACAAAAGCGACAGCTTTTCTGCTGCATCCGGGTCTCTGGTATCTGTGTTCAGATTATGTCCTGCATGAATTATTGATGGAGGACTCAGCTGTCCTCCCCACATGGGTTAATCATCACTGCCTCCCACAACTTCCAACGTGGGATGGAATCAGCAAATGTACATGAACTCAAGTTACAGAAGGTGAGAATGTCACATGTGCCCTCTGCCTTTAACATACATGTCCAGTTTTGCTCAGATCAGAGCAAAATGTTGTCTTCTGTTCTCTTTTTATTGGAGCATAGTCAAGGACTATCATTAGGGCACTGGAGTCAAGTAAAACTAGTAACTTTTTATTCCGAGTCTGGGAACACAGCAACACAGACCTTTGCGTGACTGTTCTGGGCTCCTGGGTGCCCCCAGTGAAGAATATACAATCCTGATTCTGAGCCTTTTCTAGGATCAATAAGTTGGCTGGATTTATTCTATTCCATTTTTTATCTTCAAGGTCATGGTGGGGGCGTGACTTCAGTGTCTATCATTCTAAAAAGGTAAAGAGTGTCAAGCCCTTTGATGGCCTTATTCAGTGGAGCCACAGCAGGGACAGAGTCTGGCAAGTTGGCCTGCAGGACAGCCTCTGGGGACTGCTGGGTCTTCTTGGCCAGCCCCGAGTTAAGTGGTGGTGGTGGGGCGTGTGGGAGGGACGTGCAGTCCTGTTTCCCTGCTCAAGAACTCTAGGCACTGCCTGTTTCCAGGTTACCAAGCAACCCTTGTAACCGTGGCTGGCTTTTCGGCTACAAAGGCAGAAGCAACCCTCAGGGGAAGCACAAAGATGATCTCCAAGCCACCTCTTGAAAGGTCTCTGTTCTTCGCACCTGGACACACCTGTGGGTGTCAGGCAGCTGAGGACTCAGAGATTGATAATGGCTGTTTGATGACTGACTTCATGCAAATTGAGCCTGACTATGCATTATTTGTACCATCTGGATTTGCCCTTAAGCTTGCTGTAAGCAGAACAAGGAGATTGGTTTAATGGGTATTTAGTGAATAACATTAGCCTTTAAAAAATAATATTGCCGCTGCTGTTGTGATGTCCCATAATTGGTTCAGTAAGAGTAAAAGCCAGAAAGGTCACACTATGGGAGAGAAGCTCAGCTGCTTTGAGCAGCGGCAGCGGCAGCAGCCTGAGCTGGGAAAAGCATTTATGAGCTCCTTTCCTGTTTATGTGTCGGTGCCCAGTGTTTTACACCATCAACGGTTCTCAAAGCTAGGGATATTTTGGGACCTAGCTAGGCCCAAATGTTAAAGAGAGATGTTAAAACTAACAGTCTCTCCCCCGTCTCTTTCTCCCCATCCATCCACCCACCCATTTATCTCCAGTTAGTTTTCTTTTAATTAAAAATATAATGACAGTGGGTTAAAAATAAAAAGTAATTTTTCTTCCACCTTCAAGTCCCTGGTGACCCAGTCCCCCATCTCAGACACAAACACTGTTTCCAGTTTCTTGTCTATCCTTTCCGCAGTACTCTGTAATCATACCTGACCCACACTGTTCTGTACCTTGAGTGTTTGCGCTTAACCATGCACATTGGTGTTTGTTTTGGGTCACTCGTCGACCGATCCCATTCCTGTTACTGGCCATGATGTTCCCTAATTAGCTCCCTCTTGATGCCCTGGAGATTAATTCTAGAGTTTTGCTATTATGAACAATATGGCAGAGAGCATTCTAATATGTACTTCTCTGTAGACACTTGTTGAGTAAATTCTAGAAATCAGGCCAGGGGTCTTTTACATCTGGGCCCCGTGTGTGGGCACCAAATTGCTTATGAGTCTCTTGACATTTGATGCAAAGTGTGTGTGTGTGTGTGTGTGTGTGTGTGTGTGTGTGTGTTTGGAAGTCAAAGGACTATAATTTTCATCACACCCCAAGTGACTCCATGACCGCAATGTTCTAGACCCTGGGCTTCTCTGCCTCAGTTTCCCTCATTCAGCTGTGAAGTTGAACTTTTTTTTTTCTTGGTAGCACCCTCTTTAGACTAAAAAGAGGGTGGTAAAAATGGAAACAATCCATTCTTTTACTAATTGCAACTGCCCCATTTAAATATGTGGTGTGTTTTGGAGGAAGAAGCTGAAATTCTTCACAAGTAAACTTTATTATTATTATTATTGGTGAATTTCATGGCCTATTGGCATAGTGGATGGGGAATTGCCTATCATTCTGTGTATCTGTGAAAGGAACAAGGGTCGGCATAATTTTCTGGAAGAGAAAGAGCTGACTTTATTTAGTGGGGTGGTGCCATTTGTGCATTTTCTGTAAATCTTTCCAAAACTTGTTTGGGGAAAAAGTGAATGGGTGCTTATGTTAGGGAAGCATAAGCTATATGATACTTAGGTTAGAAACAGATTTTCCCTTAATGTCCTATTCTTTTGTTATAGGAGCATTCACTTGGCAATAATAATTCTACCTAGGCAGCCTTGCAGACCTGATGCAAATATTGAAGCCATGTGTTGCAAAATGAAACTGGTACTGAACTGATGTCAAGTGGGTTATTTATAGATTATAGAACTGCAGTCACTGGCCCATAAGCAACGAATAATTGTTTTCTACTTTGAAATCTTGAAGTGCTAATTGATTCTGCAACTGATTAGCGAGGTGGCGCCCTCCTGTGGAAATGATCTTGGGGGCGATTGTTTTTCCTTTCTAACTCCAGCTTCCAAGGGCCTGACCCCAGTACAGCACCTGCAGGCAGGGCTTGTCCTGCTCAGAACCGTGGTGGAGTTCAGCTGCACTTTGAGTCCCTCCTCCCACCCCAAGGCACTCTCTCTTCTCCAGGTTTCACACTGGCCTTTTTATTTTATTTTATTTTTTATTTTTTGAGTTGGAGTCTCACTCTATCGCCCAGACTGGAGGGCAGTGGCACGCTCCCGGCCACCGCAGCCTCGACCTACTGGGCTCTGCCAGTCCTTCCACCTCAGCCTTTCAAGTAGCTGGAACTACAAGCGCGCACTACCACGCCCGGCTAATTTTTTTGATTTATTGTAGAGATGAGGTCTCGCCAAGTTGCCCAGGCGGGTCTTGAACCCGCGGGCTCAGGCAATCCACTCACCTCGGCCTCCCAAAGCACGGGATTACAGGCAGAGCCACTGAGCCCGGCCACACTGGCCTTTTTAAATCTCGCACTTGGAATCGTTCCTCTCTCCCATTTTCCCTGTTAAGCATCCTCCCTTAGGTGTGTCTGGGAAAATATTTGATGAGCTGATGAAAAGGGAGGTGTTGACCTTGAACTTCACCTTTTACTGCTGCTCAGGGGTTTTGCGTTTTGATTGGGAACAATTTCTCTGGTCGAATAATGAGCCCAATAGATAGATTTTCTCACTGGTTGGCCTTTGGAGGATTGTATTTTTAGGCACAGCGTGGGGCCAGGCAGTGTGGGACAAAAGGTCTTCTTGGAAGCAGCTGGTTCTTGCTGTGAGCTCAACTCCAAACTTGACTTGGCACTAAAATTCCTTAGAGTGGCCTAAGCCCATGGAAGCACACAGAACTTATTTAAACAGCCTCAAGGTTCCGATGACAATCACGTTTTTCTTCTTCTGTTATCTTCTAATTTTCCATGTCTTCCGGAAGGAGATGTTCCTTTTTCATTAATATTTCCAGTCAAATTTAGTAAACTTAACTTTGATCAATAGTCAGTTATAGCTCCTAGGAGAAATTTCGAGTGTTTCCTTATTCCTAGGTCTCCAAAATAATGCATTTAGGGAAGTCTCTGAGATGTTATTAATTTTGACTTTTTATTGGTAAGATCTTTAAAAATGAAAGAATCATTTCACAGCAATTCATGTAGATTTAATATCTTGGCATGTGGTGTTAGCAGTTAGACTTTTTTTTTTTTTAATCTTTCTGTACCTGGTTGGTTAGGGGAGCCTTTACAGTCTTTTCCTTGGCTTGCGTATGGCTATTACATCTTTGCTGCCTCCTTTCTGGGCTGGGACCTGGGTCTCTTCATTACAAGGATGGGAGTGAAGCA